GGGCGCCTCGGCGACGGGCGCCGCGACGGGGGGCGGTGCGGCCTTCTTGGGCGGTCGCGTCTGCGCAAGCGCGAGCGAGCCGAACAAGGCGAGTCCGAGGGCAAGGAGGTGACGGTTCGGGTACAGCATGGCCCCGTCACTAGACCATCCGCCCTCCCCGCCCAAAGCCCGGAAAAGCGCCCCCGCGCCCAGGCATTACCGCTCGCGCAGCGCTTCCTGTGACTTCATCATCGGCCGCAGCATGTAGCTGAGCACCGAGCGCTCGCCGGTCTTGATCTCGACGACCGAGGTCATGCCGGGGATGACGGGCAGCTTTTCGCCCTTGTACTGGAGGTTGTTGCGCTCGGCCGTGACGATGACGCGGTAGTGGCCGTCGCCGCTCTTGTCGCCTTCGGTCACCGCGTCGGGGCTGATGTAAGCTGACCTTGCCCTCCAGGCCGCCGTAGGTGTTGAAGTCATAGCCGGCGAGCTTGACTTCGGCCGTCTGGCCCAGCCGCACGAAGCCGATGTCCTTGGGCTTGATGCGCGCTTCCACCAGCACCTTCGGGCCGATGGGCGAGATCTCGAGGATGGGCGCACCGCTGCCCACGACGCCGCCGATGGTGCCGGCCTTCACGCTCTTGACGACCCCGTGCACGGGTGACTTCAGCACCGTGCGGGTCAGCGCGTCCTGGCGCACGACCATCTGCTTCGTCGAGTTGGGCCATTTCGCTCTGCACGCGCACGAGGTCCTGGCTGGCCTCCTGCCGCGAACGCGAGATGCGCTCGGTGCGCTGCTGCTGCATCTCGTTGACCTGACGGTTCAGCCGCATGACCTTCGACGTCGCTCATCAGGCCGCTGCGGCTCATGTCCTGGGCGAGCTTGAGTTCCTTGGAGATCATGCCGAGGCTGCGGTTGATGGCGCCCACCGCCTCCTCCAGCAGCCGCTTGCGCGCCTCGAAGGACTCGGCTTCCGCCACCGCGTAACGGGCCTTGGGGTCGACATCGGCCGGCCAGCGCACCCGC